CTTATGGCAATCAGTAGTTTCCTTCTCAATGGAAGAGTTGTGCTTTAATGATCATACCATTCACCTCATACTCAAGTTCTTTGCAACCATTTACCGTTGACTGACTCAAATATGATGCAACCAACCAACTTAGCAACACTCGATTTCGATCGTCGGTAGTGGGTAGCTAACAACTTAAGGTGTAAGAGTTATTAGGAGAATCTAACCACATCAGTGAGGTGCATATCTCGCAAGGACAATCTGGATTACTCACATCAATCATAAGCAATCAACTAAGCACAAGAGTCTCAAAAACTAATGGGGGAAGCCTTTCGCAAACTTGATTTTAACTTTAAGTACATCACTACCTTTCTAACAAGGAGAGGATTTCTCTCTTTCTGATTTTGCTTGCCGAGTGGTCGTATTTAGTACAAGTGGGATTTGTTTCTTACTACCGGTGACTGAGCAAGAGCTACTTCTGCTTCTTAGCACTCACATAAGGGCTTCTTTCAACTCCTTTTCCTCAGTCCACGTGGAGGGTCATTGCACATCCTCAAACGACACTTCACTCAACGGGGGATCGTACTTGATAAGCAACATCGTACGGTCGCGAATCGATGCTCACTTGAACCTTTCCTAATCCCATGTGCAATGAGTGATTGCCTCACACGATTTTGGTATTTTCCCACACTTTAATTGTTATGGCAACTTTCTTATATTTTACTTGTCAGGTAAGATTTTTTTCTTTTATAAAATACAGTTCACCCCATCATAAAACCTTTTAAAACAGAGAGACTCAATGCAAAGTCAAAAGCTCACAACAGATGTAAGTAAGCACGGTATCCAAACATGTCGAATGGTCAATGTTCTCCACCTAACTACTTCACCAAAAGTCATTACACTATCCTCACAAAATAGAGTGTTCTAAAAGAGTTTGCTATTTCCATTATAAAAAAAAAGAGTTTGCTATTTCAAAGCATATCAAGTCAGTCAAACTATCAAGCTTATTGTGAATAACTTTGTAATTCAACACAAGTGGGGTGATTTTTGATGATTTCATTCAAGCACAAACTCCTTTCACACGCATCGCGACCATTTACATCACGTTACTACAAGAGTAAAAGGTTTTGTTTTTAATTTTCTGATTTTTAGGTTTTTTTAGCCATTAGGTAGGCACCAATGCAGTCAAAAGCGCGATTCTACCTAGAAGCGGAAAATGGGTAAAATCGTAAAGCGTAGAATCAGAGCGTAAAAACGTAAGTTTTTGACGCATACTTTAATATAACGAAAAATGTGTTAAGTACAATACAATATGAGTGGACATAGTTTAGATAAGTTAATAAATACTTGTAATTCATGTCTAAAGTTGAGAAACTCATAACATTTTAACAATAAGTTCATAAACATATATCTTAACAATAAGCTACATTCCCCTCTATGCTAGTGAATTTGGGAAGGGCATAGCTGGTGAATTAGATTACTCTATTGAAACTAAGAATGCACCCAAGTACTTGATATGTATCTTTTAATCTCAAATATATCATAGTTTTTGTGATTTACCTTTAAAATATAAGTATTTTCATGAATAGAATACTCTTTTAGTGAACTAGAAGCGTAAAAGCGTAAAGCGTTTTAGTGAACCAGAAGCGTAAAAGCGTAAACTTTTAAGCTTTAATGCGCATTTTAGTCCCGATTTTATACACTTAAGATTTTATATGGAAACGAAAGCGTTTTGGTGTCCTAGAAGCGTAAAACCGTAAGTTTTTAAGTTTTAAAGCGCGATTTTGACTGCATTGGTAGGCACAAGCAGATTGCACCTACATAGGGAGACTGCATGCAGTTTGGCTGTGCACAGCCAAATGACAGTTTTTTGATTTTTTTTTTTGATTTTTTTACCACATGCAACAGGGACAAACAACACTAAGACTCACCACCCCAGACTCAGAATGGAACATTGTCCCTAATGTTCAACTCCTAATCTAAACATGCACGGGTTTGACACAACTAAAAAGAAAAATAAAGAAAAGAAAACTCACCTTGGGTTGCCTCCCAAGAAGCGCTTTTTTAACGTCCTCAGCCTGACGTTCATGGAGCTTTCAACCAATGGGTATGGATCGGTATCCAGAATACCCTCTCGAGCAATGATAGAACGCATAGCCTCCATCTAACATATGAGTCACCGCAACAGGGCCAGGTGTGCAAAAATTCGGTATGACCTTCTTAGCTGGCATGTTGGACCCTTTGGTGAGGCATAGGTGGTATTGCAGTGCCTCAAGCAAGTACTCTTCATGTTTCAATGTCAGTGAAGAGGGAATAATAACATAAAGATTGAAATCCTTACCCAAATATCTATACTTGAGATGATCTGGCAAGGATTTTTGTCCTTGCTTTGATTTCAGAATATGAGTAGATAGGACATGTGATAGTTCTTCAGGTTGTCCACTATCATAGGAGAAGGAATTTTTCCTTTCTCGAACTTCACTTTCAAAGTCATCAAATGCATCGTGATTATGATCAACTTGAAAGACATTAAAAATTTCCTCCTCCTTACCTACTCGAAATGTCAACTTGTCTCTCCCAACATCGATGAGTGCATCGCCAGTGGCTAGAAAAGGTCTACCAAGAATGAGCGGCACTCCCCAATCATCTTCCATCTCTAGAATTACAAAATCTGTTGGGATAATAAACTTCTCAACCTTCACCAATACACTCTCCATCACTCCTTTTGGAATTTTTACTGATCGATCAGCCAATTGGAGAGTGATCCGAGTAGTTTTAAGAACATCTCTCAATCCCAATTTCTTGTAGACTGAGTATGGCATCAAATTAATTCATGCTCCAAGATCACAAATTTATTTATCGAACTCTCTACCTCCAATGACACATGAAATGGTGATGCTTCCTGGATCATCCCTCTTTTCTAGTAATTTATTCTGAATCACAGCACTACATTTAGAAGTAAGGGTTACCTTCTCTAACCTATGAGGGAATGGTACGGGAGGTTCGTAAGTCTTTACCTCTTCATTCTTGAATTTTTCCACCTTTGGAGGTGCACAGGCAGAATGCTCATGCACAGGCAGATTGCATGCAATTTGCCTGTGCAAGTCAGATTTTTCAGCTTTTGCACTTTCATCCTCTGCAGTGGTTTTGCCCTCTTTTTCTATTGGATTTTTCTTGCTCTTTAGATCATCCAACTCCTTCCCACTCCTCAATGTGACTACTACAACCTTGGCATCCTTTGAATTTCTATTAGTATTTCCCGGTAAAGTCCCAGGAATCTTACCTTGAATATCAACCAAAGTTTGAGCCATTTGGCCTATTTGCCTCTCCATAGCTAGCATAGATGATTGCATATTATTGTTGATGGCTAGTTGTTGAGTGACAAATTGATCAAGACCCTTGAAATTATTTCTGTTTCTTGCATATGAGCCAAAATCAACTCCTCCAGCTGGGGCTTCTTCTCTGGTTGAGGCTGTTGCTGTTGAAAACCAGGAGGTGGGATGTTTCGAACACTAGATGATTTATTTTTGACCATGACATATTGTGGTGATGTCTCCATTGAGGGTTGTATGTATTTGAATACATACCACCCTGGCCTTGACTTCGCGGATTATTGATATATTGGACATCTTCCAGCTGAGCAGCTCGCAGTGGACACATATCCCTATGATGAGGAGCCTCGCAAAGTTCACATGAAGCAGCCTCCCCTTGCTAGACTTCGTTCGAGTGCATCGAACATAGAATCTAGCTTGGCATCTATCTTGGCTTCTAGACTCGCAACTCTTTCTATCTCATGCAAGCCTCCTCTTCTTCGAATACTGGTCTCACTACCCCATTCAGTGGCTTCTGAACAGATCTTCTCTACCAGGTCATATGCTGCTGGTGCCTCCATGCTTGTGAAACCATTTCGAGAAGCATTATTCAGGGCATCACGGAACTCCCTTCTGATTCGATTGAAGAAATAATGATCACGTTCCAATCTTCAAGACCATGGCTTGGGCATCTCATCAATAGCCCCTTATAGCGCTCCCATGCCTCAGTCAGACTCTCATCATCAGCTTCTTAAAAGTACCAATTTCCTCTTGCCCCTTCATTGCCAAGGCAGGTGGGAAGTACTTATCCATAAAGGCCTTCTCAAGCTGAGCCCATGTCATGATGGAACGTGGTGTTAAGTTTTGAAACCAGTGTGATGCATTCCCTATAAGAGAAAATGAGAACATCCGAAGACGAATTGCGTCATCAGACATAGTTGGGCTCTTCATCGTATCACATATGCTCGCGAACCGGCAAAGATGTTCGTGAGAATCCTCAGTTCTAACCCCGGATAAAGTATACCCGTTAGTGATCATGTTGATAAATGCTGGGGTAATCTCCATGGTTGCATCCCCAGCCGGAATGACAACACATGAAGCTCGGGGTCCAGTCCTTCGATTCAAACGAGCCCTAATCGAACGATCCTTTGCCATGATGACAGGCTCGATGTCGCGCGGGGGTGGTGGTGGTGTCGGTGGTAGGGACGACAGGTGATGAAGCCTGCCCTCTCTGGGTTAGGTAAGGCATAGAAGTTGTGGTTGGCTACTTCCCTAACTTGACCTGCTTCTTGTTCTGACGGCAGGTCTTCTCGATCTCCGGATCTAGTGGCAGTAAATTGCCAGTCGTCCTCCTAGTCATGCACGAGGAGGATAAACCTGATAATTCTTCTGCACACTAACACCAATATCAAAATAGTTCACAAAAAAAATAAAAAAAAATAAGGTATGGCAGTCCCCGGCAACGGCGCCGAAAACTTGATAGGGAAAAATCGTAATGCCTCAATCATATCTCGTAGTAAAACCAGAAAGTCCGAGTATCGTCTCTCAGGGACTAGTACAACCTTATATTCTATCTATTTTATAGAGAAAACTATAGGTGAAAAAGTTATAGTGATGAAACTACTATCTAATAATTAAACAAAACAAGAAACTAAAATTGTCGGGTTGAAATCAACGGGAGAAAGCTCTGCGAGAAACACCGGAATTCACTACCTATCATTCAGTTTAATCCAATTCTCTACAGCTAGGATATCTCTATTGGGCTAGCTATCCCTGTCGAGAATTAATACGTACTAAATAATTAAATCAAATCCTACCTTCGCAGCTCAATGAATTAACTGTTTAGCCTGAAGACCGATATCCCAATCAAGACCACATAGCACCTTATTTAATCCACTGTCGCTTCGATAAGTTACTATGTCACATGAAATAGGTTGAGTCATTAGGGTTTCATTGTCGCTAATAACCTAATTAACTACAAATTGTTGTATTGGTGGCCAGTCAACACAAAGAATTAAGCAATTCCATGCAATAGAGATTGGAAGAAAAGAGATATGAATCAATCCATCAAATATATAAATAGCTACATCCTTTAGTTCATAACGAAATCAAAAGATATAATCATGTTTATAATCATCATTGTATTAATTAAAGCTAAAAATAAAAATATTAAGATTGTCAGATGTAATCTCTGCCAATTCCTTCTCGCTTCAATCGCCGATCGTCGCTCCTCCTCTGCTCGCGAGTCGCCTTTTGCTCCGCGCTACTGCTCTCTGCCGTCCAGTCGACAGTCACTCGCAAGTTGCTGTGCCAATTCCAATTCGCCTCCGAAGAATCCTCTCCCAGTCTCCTCCTCCAGTAATCCCCAGTTGCCTCTAAATAATTCCTTCCCCAAACGATGCGTTCCACTAGCTTTTCCTTCTCAGAAAAGGACAAAGAAGTTGGTCCATATTCAATCCCAAAAATGCACCCCTGGTCCATGTGACTTGCGGCCAATTAATTCCATCCCCAGTTCCATATCCCAGTTCTCCCCCGAGCTTGCTCTCTGTGGCCTTTTCTTTCCGATCCAAAATAAATCCCTCTTCAAGAATTTTTGGTCCCAGTCCAACCTGTCCAAAAGAACTTCTTCGTGGCCTTGATCTCTCTTTCTAGCGTAGCTGCCGTTCACTCCAACGAATGGGCCGCAAACCCATTATTAAATTTTATGGCTGCAAAGGAAGCTGGTTCAATCCGATTTGGTTTTGGATTGGCCATTGATAGGACTACTTGTGGTATTTTGCTTGTGCATCAATCGCTTCTTGTTTCTCCACCTAAAATATATCAAAATTCTAACAAAAGGTGGTAATGGCCTTATAACCATTCCAGAGTTCGTTGACCCTAAAATAAACATTATATGTCTTAAACATATCATGAAATAATTACATTATGAACATAATATCAATATGCTTTCGACAATTGTCAGTGAATGACCTGGAACGCTGAATCAATGAATGAGGTTATGCTCTATTCAGCCTAGGGCAACCCTATATCGTAGGAGATTAGTGGAATGGATTCCCTCGGGGATTGCTTGTACTATATAGGATGAGGAGTGACCCAAAGATGCCAATAATGGGCTCTAAGGGGATTTTCTCCCTCCTAGGTCAAAAGCTCAAAACATAAAAATGGAAACCCAACTCATGCAACTCATGAAAACATCCATCAATTAAGTAAAATCATCAATCAAACATCGAAGTTGTCACATACATCAACAACAAACCGAAACCTAGACCTAGGGTTCTTAAACCCAAGAGAAGAGAGTGGGTTTCTAGAGAGAGAGGAGAGAGAGATTACAAACAAAGCACAAGATCTTCTTCTTCTAAGCTTGATTCCTTGCTTTCAAACTTGATCAATGCCTTCAATTAAGCTCCAAGATCACTCAAGAACTCACTCACACTCTCTCTCGCTCTCTCTCTAAAACTCCCCTTTGGTGTTTTTGGTCGAAACCCTAGAGAATGAAACTAATTCCTCTCCGAAAACCAACTCCCCCCTTTTCTTCCTTCTATTGCTCCCTTTTATACCCAGATCGAAGGTTGTTCACGGTTTGAGTTCACGGTCCTGAACTCAAAGCCTAGACCGTGATCTCGGCCAGAAACGCGCCGTCTCACTACAACACTTCACGGTCTGGAGCTGAAGTTCACAGTCATGGGCTCTAGTGAGATGCGAAACAGTCTGGATCCTCTGCACTTCACGGTCCGGGGCAATTGTCAATGTCACTATGGACATTTTTTTCACTTTTTTTCGCTTTTCGACATCCGATCGACCCGAAACTCGTCCTCGACCTTCCCACACGTGCTTGGACATAAAATGTAACAAAAAAGCACAACCTAGCATAAAATAGGTTAAGGGACGATGATCTACTAAGCAAAACAAACAAGAAATGAGGGGTAAAATGTGTACAATTGGACCCGAATCAGTTTTAATAGCATTTTCTGTAACATCCCGAACCTTTTCCCGACAAGATATTGTCTGCTTTGGGTCTCTACATCCGCACGGATTTCGACTTCGGGTGCAATTCATGGTGACTTCTCATAAGGTCAACCATCCTTGTTGTCCTCCACACTGAGCACGTTTAACTTCAAAGTTCTCACAAGAACTCTTCCGTTTCACCCCAAAACGCGTCTTGTCAGTTAAGGTCGGTTTCTTACTTATGAACCATGGATCTCTCCAGTGCTTTCTCGATGTGGGATTTGCCTAAGGTGTTACATACACCCCCTGGGACTCAACGCCCTCGTTGAGGTTTGCCCCACCATCGTTCAAGAGGGATGCGGAGAGGCTCTGATACCACTTGTAACATCCCGAACCTTTTCCTGATAAGATATTGTCCTCTTTGGGCCTCTACACCCACACAGATTTCGACTTGGTGTGCAATTCAGGGTGACTTCTCCTAAGGTCACCCATCCTTGTTGTACTCCACACTGAGCACGTTTAACTTCGAGTTCTCACAAGAACTCTTCCGTTTCACCACAAAACGCGTCCTGTCAGTTAAGGTCGGTTTCCTACTTATGAACCATGGATCTCTCTCATGCTTTGTCGATGTGGGATTTGCCTAAGGTGTTACATTGTCTCCATATAATAAATTTTTCGCTGGGATATCTAGGGTACTTAGATAATGGTACACTACACCTGTGGTTTTATGTATAAGGAAATTGATATTTCAATGGGTTGAAGTTTACTAAGTTCTTTGTTGGTTTGTATTAATATTCTCGTTCAATTTTTCCAATCTTCTAAATCTTTTTATGGGTTACTACTACAATTCAAGTCTAATATATCAGGGTTGTTGAAGCTAGTGTTTGAGTATTTTGGGATGTATGAGTGTGGTATTTTACTCCATCCTCCCTTCATACGAGTAGTGTAAGAGTTTCTGTATAAAAATTCTTCGTAAGAGAATTATCAATCAAAAAAGTTTTCATAATTATGTTTTTAGATGTTTCCGCTTCTTCTGTTTTTTCATAATTTGTATAAGAATTTTCATCGCTACTATAATCCAAGAATATTTTTTCATTTTCAATATTTTCTCCTGGTTCTGAAAATATGCTTATAGCTGCTAATAAATCATTTAGTTTATTAATTTGTTCATCAATGGATGTCATAAAATATTGTAGGGTGCTACAATTGTAAGAAAATTGCGTATATTTAATTTATTATTTCTTAAATATTCTTTTAAGTCTTCAATTATAACACATATTTTATTATCGAATTTTACCATTATTTCTTGAAGTTTAATAATTATCTATTACCGGTAAAATAACAGCGTTAGCATTTTCACCAGATTGGACTACCATTTTATATTTATCTCGTATATTTGTTTTATGTAGCTGCTGACGAGCGGCCGAGGCGCTTACCCGCTCGAGCCGATCGAGTCACTCGTCCGGGTTTTGCTATTCAGCAGTTAAATTTAATTAAAAAATTGTAGAAAATTGAAAATTGAAATAAACCTAAAACGCCGGGGTCTCAAACTGAATCCTTATTTTCCTTTCACAATTTCGAAGGAAGAGACGAGCTCTAATTAAGAAATGTCCACGATGAGAGAGATTCGGGGTAGGAAGAGAAATCTGGGTAGAGAGAGAAATCGAGCGAGAGTGAGGCAGAGGGTCAGTCACCGGTTTCACGATCGTTTGTTGTTTTGTAGGTCCAGTGCTTCCAGGTCAGTGGAGAATGGTGACTCGAGGGGAAGATGCTACCGGCAAGAGAAGTTTGGAAGGAAATCGGTCACTATCACTAGGCAGACTTCCGGCAAGAATCTTTGGTACAGACTTATAGTGGAATCTGGCAGTAGGAATTGGAGTGTTATCCTGAACGAAGAACATCTTTCCTGGCTCCAAGGAGTTCTTCAAACAGCAGCTATGAAAAGGTGGTATTTTCCCTCATGTTGTACTAAAAGAGTCCTGGGACAGGTTATTCATGTTGGAAAGACCCGCGTTCGACATGAGGAGCTTCTCCAAATCTCTGAGCAGACTGCGAACGGAAGAGTGTTCAAAGTTCTGATTCCTGTCTCTGGAACTAAAGTAGGATGGGCAGGTTTGATCAAGATGCTTCAAGATTTCTACAAAACAGAACTACAGTCTCGGCTCTGCTCTGCTTTTGATCCCGTCTCATTGCTTCCTCCACCGGCGCCTCTGCAATTTACAACCATCCCTGGGAGAACTTATGCCGAGGTAGTAAGAGGGGGTGGCTTCTATGGAGCAGGTAGCTGCAGCATCAAAGGTTCTGGCATAAATAGATATATTGAAGTCGGTGCAAAAGGGATTGCAGAACGTAAAGAACTTCTAGGACGCAGTCTGGTTATAAACTTTACATCAGCTGGGTCAGAGGTGTTCAGGAGCAGCTTTGTGGCAGAGTTCAGAGCGTGGGCCTCTAAAACCTGGGCTATTAACGATAATTTTGGATTCATCGAAACAGCAGATGGTAACTGGTTACTGATTTGTCCAAGCGTATCAGAAGCTCTGCGAATTAAAGAGCTCAGCCATCTTCTTTTCAAGGATTTCTACATAAGTATTAGCCCCTGGATGGAAGATGTCACGCACAGAAACTCTGACGATACTTGGATATTGGTTTTCGGTATCCCCTTGCACCTCAAGAGTGTCGATTTATTGGTGACCATAGGAAATTTTTGTGGAAGTTTTATTGAGGTGGATTGGAATTCTTGGAGTCTCGATTTTGTGCGGATCAGAATAAGGAAGATTAGAAAGATTCCTGAATCAGTTTTGCTTCTTGCTGGATCAGTTGGTTTCACGGCTAGGGTGGTTGTGTCGCCGACGGCGAGCGACTCCAGTCAAGGTATGGGGAAGTGTGAGAGTTCCATTCAATTTGGGAAGACGAATCGATCTTCCTCGGTTTTCCCGGCACGCATCTCTCCAAGCAGCAATGTCCAACTGGTTTCTCCGAGAAGCGGCGGTAAGGCGGTGGGCATTTTGTCTTCCAGAGATCCTATTCCTAACCGTTGTTCTCCAACTAGAGTTTGGGTGCGCAAAGCAAGCCCAAGCGGACTGGGCCGCTCACTGCCTTCTTTGGATCGAAGCCTCCTTAAGCCTGTCACTTCTCAACCCTACCCGCCCTTTTCAGTTCCCCCTTCAAGCCCATTCCCCAACCTAAATTTCTTTAGCCTGTTAACCAACCTTTTCTGTTGGCCCGAATCCCCCTTTCCTGTTTGGCTATCTTTAGACCTCCGTGAAACTAGCCTTCTGAGAATCAGTTTCCCTTACCCTGCTCCTCCGTTGAGTGACATCCTCCTATCTCAATCATCAAACTCAATTTCCAACCCTAGTCCCTTCCACCCGGCCTTACCTTCTTCAATACCCCAAGAGCCTCTCCCCGGTCAACTTCGTCTATGCTTTCCCACTTCTAATTCCTCTTTAGTTGTCGACCTCTCGATGGCATCCTTCCCTTCTTCCCCTCCATCCTCTTCGTCCCTTTCATCTTGGGATTCACCCATGCCCCCCTCCTCGTCCCCCCCAACCTTTGTTCCCGAGACTCCAACTCCACCCTCGTCTCCACCCTCAGGTTTTTCGGAACTTCCTTCTCCCTCTTGTAACACTGGTGGCGATCAACCGAGATGGATTCTGGAGCAATACCCCTTTAACTCTGTATCTTTGGTGAACTGCACGAAAGACCTAAGCAATCTGTTTGGACTAGAACAGGGGGAAGGTCAGGGCAATCTGGATGACATCTTAGCCTCTGTCGCCGTCTCTATGCACAAAAGGAAGATTAAAACCTCCAGATCGAAACTTGAAATGGAAAGGAGACGTTTGGGTCCCTCTTCTCCTCCCCCTTCAGGTCCTAGAAGATGCAAGAAAGCTCCGGGTGTGGTCTCATCCTTATCTCTACCCTAATGAATTCTTCGGTTTTTGTTTGGAACGTAAGAGGTATCTGTGACTCGGATAAGAGGAGTCGTATCAAACAGTTAATCAGACGTCGGAATCCTCAAGTTATCGCGTTAGTTGAAACCAAGTGGAATTCGTGCTCTGACTCTCTTGTTAACAGTGTATGTGGCAGAAGAGATATGAACTGGGTCGCTAAAGATTCGGTGGGAAGTTCAGGGGGAATTGTTATCTATTGGGATACGTGTCGTTTTCAGGATTTATCAAGCTACGTCGGCAACTACTATTTGGCAGTTGAATTTTTGGAGATCATTACATCAAAAATCTGGAGATTTGTCGCCGTGTACGGTCCACAAGACAGGAGAGATAAGTTGTGCTTTCTCAATGAACTTCATACCTATTGTCAAAATCAAGTTGCACCGATTTGCATTGCCGGGGATTTCAATTTGGTGAGATCACACGAGGATTACATTAGGGGGTAGAAGAAACACTTATCTGATGAACAGTTTCAACTCTTTTATTGAAGATAATGATCTCCTGGATCTTCCTATCAGTGGTTGTCGATTTACATGGAGCTTAGGGGCTAACAGCAACTCTCAGTCTCGTATTGATCGGATTCTGATTTCTCCGAGCTTTGATACTCTCTATCCGGATTGCAGGTTATTAGGATTGGAAAAGGTGGAGTCTGATCACTCTCCTCTTCTTCTTCTTCAGTGGGGTGGTAATAAAAAGCTCAATCGTCCTTGGAGATTCGAGAACATGTGGCTGGAGGATGTTCGTTTCTTCATAGGTCTTACCTCTTGGTATTCTAATTCGTTGCAAGGTAGTGGAGCAGTGTTTTGTTTCTGTATGAGATTGAAAGACTTGAAACAGAATATCAAAGTGTGGAACAGGGATGTTTTTGGCAACATTCATATCAAGGTTGATAGACTCCTTAAGGAAATCAAGGGGTTAAGTTTGATTAAAGAGTCCAGGCCACTCTCTGACTTTGAAGCTGAGGATTTAATAGAGAAAATACTTGATCTAGAAAAGGCTCTATCTCTTCAGGAAATTAGCTGGAGACAAAAATCAAGGGAGGTTTGGCTTAAGCTGGGGGATCAGAATTCAGGATTCTTCCATAAAATGGCTAGCTTTCGTAGGAAAATGAACTTCATTTGGAGGATTAAGATCAACGATACAACGGTTGAAGGAATGGATAATATCGCTCAAGGGGTGGTGGAGTTTTATTCCAATCTTTTCCTTGAGGAATACCAGACTCGTCCCTTCCCCAGCAACTATAATCCTCCATGCTTGAACTCTGCAGAATCTGCATCTCTTGAAAAGCCCTTCACAGAGGAAGAAATATGGGAGTGCCTCTCTGATAGTGATGGTACCAAGGCGCCCGGGCCGGATGGGTTCTCTTTTGAATTTTATAAGAGATGCTGGAACTTTGTCAAGACTGATGTTCTGAATTGCTTCAGTGAATTCTTCGCTACTGGCAGGCTGCCCAAGATTGCTACTCATTCATTTATTTGCTTGGTTCCTAAGAAAGGCGCTACTGAAGATATTAAGGATCTTCGTCCCATTGGTTTGATGGGAAGCGTGAACAAGCTTATATGCAAAGTGCTCTCCAAAAGACTAGGCCAGGTTCTCCCCGCTGTTGTCTCGGTTTCCCAACACGCTTCAGTTCGAGGTAGACAAATTTCGGAGGCTGGATTAATTGCAAATGAGCTTGTTGACAGCAGGAGGAGGAGCAAGAAACCAAGTCTTCTAATCAAACTCGACATCGAAAAGGCTTTCGACAACGTTAGTTGGAGCTGCCTCTTCACCGTCTTGGCAAGATTAGGTTTTAAGGAGAAATGGAGGCAATGGATTCTTGGTGCGGTTTGCTCCCCTACTATTTCAGTGTTGATTAATGGTGAATCGAAAGGATTTTTTACAGCGCACAAGGGGCTTCGCCAAGGGGACCCTTCGTCCCCAGGGCTGTTTGTTCTGGTTATGGATATCCTCTCATTTATGCTGTCCAAGCTCAAAGAAGATGGTAAAATTAAAGGTTTCTTTATGAATGAAGAGGAGCAACGGGGAGAAGTAACTCACTTATTGTTCGCCGACGACACACTCATCTTCTGTGATGCTTCTCCCGACCAGATTCTCCACATCACAGTCACTCTTGCTTGCTTTCAGGCGGTCACAGGATTAAAGATCAATCTAGACAAGACAGTCATTTACACGGTTGGAGATGTTCCCGAACCTGAGTTTTTTGCTAACATTCTTGGCTGTAATTGGAGTTCCAACCCTCCTAAATACCTTGGCTACCCGCTTGGGGCTAAGCTTAATGTCATCTCTTTTTGGTATCCGATTCTTTTGAATTATAAGAAGAAGCTGGAAAGCTGGAGCAGTAGGTACCTCTCGGCGGGGGGGAGACTGGTTCTCCTCAAGTCAGTGCTTTCAAATCTCTCAGGATATTACTTCTCGCTCTTTAAAGCTCCAAAGAAGGTGATCGAGGATATGGAGAAAGTGCAACGGAAGTTCCTATGGAGTGGGTTTGGGGATAAGAGGAAAACCCCTCTGGTCGAGTGGAGGATTTGCAAATCGAACAGAAACAACGGGGGTCTGGGAATTAGAGATCTAGCCACTTTCAATAGTGCGATGCTATGCAAGTGGTTATGGAAGTACGGAGTCAACAACAATGGGTGGTGGAGGACTCTCATAGACATTAAATATTCCAAAGGTAAATCTCAATGGCACACTGGTGGAAGTCGAGGGGGCAGCTCGAGCTCCGTTTAGGTCACTATCATGAAAGAGGCTGAGTTGTTTTGGAATCTTGCTCGGGTGGAGCCTGGAAGCGGTGCTTTTGTCTCCTTCTGGTATGATCGGTGGATTTCGAACCCATCTCTTGCGGTTAACTTTCCTCGAATAGCAGTTGTTACCACTGACTTGGATGCTAGGATCAACGACATCGTGGAACTCTCAGGTGATAATGTTTCTATTAAGTTACATACTAATATTGACTTGAGAACGGGTGCTGAGCAGGAGAGGCATAATTTGATTTCGCTTCTTAATTCCTATAATTTCATTATCGGTGCTAATAGTCCGTGCAGACTCGTGTGGCTTCCTGACCAGGAGGCTGGCTTTTTGGTCAAATCCATGTACAGAACTTTGCTTGAGGACAGGTGTCCAGGAGTTCCCCATTTCCCTGCTGAATCTGTTTGGAGGAAAATCGTACCTTCAAAGATCTGCATCTTCATTTGGACAGTGGCGCACAACAGCATCCTAACGCAAGACAAGCTGCAAAAACGTGGTTGGAATTCGGCCAATAGATGTGACCTGTGCTACATGAATGAAGAAACGACAGCCCATTTACTCGCTGACTGCAATTTCACCAAGCAAGTGTGGAGCATCATCAGGAGAAGCTGTAAGCCGTCAGTCTTCCCTTCAGGCAACGATCTCGACTCTATTTTGAAGAATTGGCCAACTGACACCCCTGATTGTATGGAAGACTGGTTTATATACTGTGCTTTCCACGTTGTTTGTTGGTGCATTTGGCTGGAAAGAAATAACAGAATTTTTAATGGTATCTCGAGGAACCCGGATCAGATCGTTAGGAAAGTCTTGAAGAATGTTGCAGGTTGGGGAGTTGCAAATGGAAAGATCGACTGTCTGGGGGCTGCTTCCTGGTTTCGGGAACGTATTCGACAGATTCAATGAATGAGGAAGGTGCTGGTTTTTTGGATCCATTTCGAGCGGGGGCGCTGTTTCGAGCAGGGATTTTTTACTGGTTCGGACATCTGGATCCTTTGCTTTGCTTTTCCCCTGCTCCCTTTCTGTTTGGGTTTGGACTGTTTGCTGGTTTTCTCTCTTTTTCTTTTCTGGTTCTTTTGTCAGAGAGATCATCCCTCCTGATCTCCTTTGTACAGCTTTGAACTCTCCTTCCTTAATAAAGCTTTTCACCTTCATCAAAAAAAAAAAAAAAAGAAATGTCCACTATTTATAATGATAACTTTTATTAGGTACCGGTTCTCTAACGATTTTTAAATGATTTAATGTCAGTTGGACCAGTAAAGTACGAGCCGTTCGCATTACCGGGTCATTCTCTGATTCGATTCTGACAACATTGATTTTTTCCCTTTCTTGTTTTCTTATAGCTACCCATAACTTGTGAAATAGTTTTTTCACATGAAAATGGAATGACAAGTGAACACATTTATTTCATTTATGCTTACTGATTTATGAACACATTTATTTCATTTATCTTTCCTGATTTATGTTGTGATAACGATAAACAATAGTAAGTGAACGAGGCATGCCGCGTAGGCGTTTCGAGAAGCATGATTTGTTTGTCAAGACACATTGGTTTTCCTTTGTTGATTTTTCCTTTTCATTTATACCACCTGACTGATGGATAAGGAAGGCGAGAAACGTTTCTCGTGGTGTATCCGTGCCGAGAAGAACTTCACTGATCAGATGATACGTGTCACAGGGTATTTAATTTGGCGTTTTGCCCTGCCTCCAATACAGGGCGCCGCGTAATCAATGTCGCCAGTAGAGCGGTGGCGAACTTGCGATGATATAGATATTGTAACCAAATTGGAGTCTTAAGAGTTAAGACTTGAGGAAACAGATGAAGTTTTATAAATTATAATCGACTGTCCTATTTCCTCTGCTTTTCCATTCTGGCCTGGAGACCTAAATTTCAACAGGGAACAGAGTCTGCTTCTGCAGCGAAGCCCCCAGGGGAAAGAAAGAGGTGTCCAAAATGAGCTACCACCAACATATCGCTCATGAATCTTACCAGCAACCAGGCAAGTTAACCCTTCAATTTTTCTTTAATTTCCCTCCTTTGTTTAACGGTGACGGTTGATTGATCGAGTTATGATGAAAATTTGTGATCTCTGTTCTGTTCCCAGGGCCGCCGCCTCCGTATACACAAAATGACCCCTTCCCCGGCCCGCCGCCTCCGTCGGTGTACCCACAAAACGAACCCTTCCCCGGCCCGCCGCCGCCGCCCCAACGCGGGTATCAACGCTATTTTGATGACAGCCGGCCGTCTTTAGCGCCGCCGTTCCCTCACGCTGCCCCGGCGTGGCATCAAGACCACTACCGGCGCTACGACGACTTAGGTTGCTTTTCCTGTATCAGGGCATGGTATGTTTGTTTTATGCAACTGTGTTTCCGGTCGTGTGGGGGAAAGGAAGTTATATGATTGAAGCTGTTTGTTTGTTTGTTTCTTGGGCACTGCAGCTTGGCTATGCTTTGTTGCTGCTGCTTGTTGGAGCAGTGCTGCCCTTGATGGATCCAAGATGTGCGTGCTCGGAATTGCAGTTCGGAGGGCTTTGTAGCTTTTGGTGTTTGCTCAAACTGGATTCGTTGGACTTGTCATCTTTATTAAATTGTGCTTGTTCTGGTCTTTTGGGGAGATATGCAATCAGAAACATGATTATGTTAAAGTTCATTAAGGACTAAAAATGATCTAATAATATAATAATAAATCTTGTCTGGATGCTTGATTTGGCTGCAACGCTAACCATGTGGTGGCTTTTGTTCGTACATGGTAGTATAGAAGTGGTAAGCGGTACCTAAACCATCATTCTTGCTTGTTCGTGCTGGTCCAAACTCTAATCAGTTTCCTGGTCGGTAAACTAGTCCCGTCTTCTTATTAGGCATCCTCCATTGTCTTAATCAATTAAGGACAACCACTTTGCATTAGTACTTAAGAACTATTAGTGAACGAGACATGATATAATGAAAGGTAATTTCGAGTTCAATTGGCTAGTTGAAATCGTCACGTTCTTTAAATATTCTCTTGGAAATATCGAGACCGATTTTCCACTATCACACTCATAAAGTGTAGATTGTGAGAGACCTTCTATGATATTATATTGTAATGCCTTAGCCCGTTCGGATACGACTTTTATTAAAATATACTATTAGAAATCAATGAACATTAGATACTTCCAATAATAACAGGAATGTAAGGTGACTTTTATCAAAATATATTATTAGAAATCAATGAACATTAGATATTTCCAATAATAACAGAAATGTAAGGTGGAAACATTATAGCGATCTCCTACCTCCTACAATAATTGGAGTATAATTTCAAGTTAGGTAACTTGAATAGATCTAATCGCTAAAATCGATCAAATTTCTTTTAAATTATTAGTTAAATAAATAAAAGCCAACTTATTTTAAATTATTAATTAAAGAAGTAAAAAATTAATGGCCACAGGAGTTGCCGTTCACCACCTACACAATTTACCCTTTTTCCATATTTAGTTGTTTTCCCTTATTCTATTCTTTCCTTTTTAATTCTTAATAAATTAGAAGCGTTACGTAAGAAATCCATTATTACAACTGAGCTCTTTACGGAACACGATGTCACTACTCATTCTGTCAATATATCTTCAATTACGTAAGGGTTTCGTAATGACATTTTACAACTGTTACGTAAATACAAATTCATTACGTAAGGTTTTTATAATGACTTAGCACTTTACGTAACGCGAGGTTAATACTCATTGCATAAAAGACCTTTATTAGATAAAAGTTACGGAACAACAATTATTTCTTACGTGATAGTTAAATTAGGAGCGTTACGTAAGGCTTCCGTAATGAGTTAGCATTTTACGTAACGCGAGGTTAATACTCATTACGTAAATACACATTATATTCTTTCCGGTAACTAGCGTTTCAATTAAAGCCCTATCTTCGTGAAAAAACTGTCAGAGAGTCGAAAAATACACCTGGCCTAAAAACCAACATTTCCTCCTTACAATTCAATAACTAATAGCTAAACCAGATGAAGGGAGGCATATTTAGAACTACGAACTCTAGAACAAAAATCATTGTTTCCATAAGCATAAAATCTGATGTCCTCTCGAAGTAGATTTGAAAGTTGTTCTGGATCTTTCGTGTGCTCACCAAAACGTCTTCTACATTGTCCCTTCCAAATAATGGTGATACTCCAGCACCAAAGCACAACTTCCACACTACTGTTGCAATCGCTTCAAATTGTTGCATTGCTCATCTGCTTCAACATCTCCCCCCAGCTGGGAGCTATAGTAACACTCTTCTGCATAAGTCTCGAGACAAACTCAGTTGTATACATGCAGCCACTAAACAAGTGTTCCTTGGATTCCTTATCACTATAACGGAGCACACACATATCATCAGTCACTAAGCCCCATATTTTCAGCTTGTCTTTGGTTGCAAGTCGATCAAAGATAACAAGCCAAGTGATCACTCTGTTTCGGGGAATAACAAATTTATTCTAGATAATTCTCCACAACCCTACTCCAGATCTCTTAAGTCTGATTGTTTGCCAGACTGTTGAGACATGAAATTTCGACAACTGCGTACCTTGCCAAGTAACACAACCCTCTCCATCAATGTCCATTCTGTTCTGAATCCATGGTCTAATTTTCAACAATTGCTTCCAAATCCAGCAGCTCAAGGAGGTGGATTTTACTTGCCAAATAGACTCACCTCGAAGTCTATATCTGAAAATCCAGGCTACCCAGAAGCTGCCCCCTTGCATAAGAAGCAACCAAATAAGTCGTGAAGCACAAGCAATATTCCACTAAAGAAGGTCCTTGATACCGAGACCTCTTTTCTGCTTTGGAACAACAAGAAGTTCCCATGCTACTTTTGCTTTCCCGGATTTCTCTCCATTCAAAGAAAGTCTGCACAGATCTTCTGAATGGACTTGATCATCTTCTTGGGAAAGACACACAGATAGCATTCTGTTTAAATTGCTTAGCTTTCCCTCCAAATTTTTTTTACCGGAGCTTTCCCTACAAAAAATACTTCACATTTATTTGGATTACATTGTAGACCAGATAATTTGTAGAAGTCATCTAAGATTCTTCTAACCCTACTCAAGGTCGTAGCTGACCCCTTAGTAAAGATAGATACATTCTATTACGTAAGGCTTCCGTAATGATATTTTCCAGTTGTTACATAAAATTACCATATGTTACATAACCATTATGTAATGCCTATGATATTTTACGTAGTGCGACCTGCGAAACCGGCTTGGAAAAAGTGAATATGCTAATGCAATGTTTGGTACGTTATTCTGCGCAAGTTCGACTAAATATAATTTTTTTTTTGAAAGGGGCTTCAAATTCCACCTAAATATCATACCGACTGAAATCAATCATAGCGTAACATGATCCTGAACATAGAACTAATGGGGAAGACAAAACATGGATGTGACTTTTCTTGTCAGGAAACTTTGTAGCATAACCAGAATGTTAACTTTCACATGATGGGTAGTAGAATAACATAACATAACATAACATAACATTAATTGACATGAATTTCAATTCAATTATCAATGACCAATCATGCTCGAGTCTCAAAACACATATGGTGGAACTTTTGTAAAATAAGATTTTCACTTACACATACTTCTATCAATTTTTCGATATACCCTTCAGCACTTTTTTCCTTTCATCATTATTTGTTTCTTTTTTGAATTTTCTCTTTCCTCTTTTGAATAATCACAATGTTGTGTGTGGGTAGCTCTCTATTTACTAGAGCATTACACGCTCGTAGGGATGATAAAAGTATCCACAACCACAAATATTCGTTAAGCGAGAGTTTCACAACAAGGGTTCCAGCTCTTGGTTTTAAGGTTTTGTCCCCGTGTCTGTTGGAAAATTAGATGGAAATAATTGGTTAATAATTGTACAGGTGAGTCTGTTCATGAACCAAGCCAACCTTCCATTTAATTTGAATTAGCCAACTTCATTTTGTCTCCACGTGGTTAATTAAATGAGTGGAATTTGAATGAACAAAAAGACATGTACCCTATCTCCCAATAAAGCGTGTCCCTCTGAGTGAATGGTTGCTTCCTAAGCAATGCGACCCTTCATAAAATGGTCGTTGCCATGGATAAAAGCACGTTTAAATGAAACGATTCATGGTTTGGATGAAGCAATATATTGCTTCATTATCTATAAATAGAAGGACTCGGCTGAAGCAAGGGGATAGAAAAAAAGGGACAGAAACATATACATTCTTCTTCTTCCATCAAAAGTTTCTAAGTGTGCTTTAGTTTCTTAAGCCTAGATTCTAAACTGGTGGTAGTTTTATTTCACGAAGAAATTTCCTGTAACCCTATGCTTTCGGAGGGTGGAAATATTTTTTTACGGAAAGTGAACGTAGTTCACGACTCCATCATAATCCTAGTCACCCGGTCTCGGGCTTTCATACAAACACCCTCGTCCCTCTTTTCTTCAACAATCGTAAATAATATTTTTCTTGTACGATGGCTCGTACTGCTCCTTATAAGGAACCTTCTCTCCATGGAAAAATTGAGAAATTCGATGGGGAACATTTCCGTCGATGGCAGAAGAAGATGCGTTTTCTTCTTACTACTCTCAAGGTGGGGTATGTGAATAGTACCACATGTCCGGAAGGTAACTTGGAGGAGGAAGGGGTCGACAATGAGGAATTGAAGAAGCGACTTCGTAAAATGAAGAAGTGGAAGAATGACAACTACCTTTGTGTAGGATACATACTCAATGGTTTGTCGGACTCTCTATTCGACATTTAAGAAATGTACGCCAATGCCTCGGAGCTTTGGGATGCATTAGAGGCAAAGTATTTGGCCGATGATGCATCGACCAAGAAGTTTCTTGTAAGTAATTTCAACACTTACAAGATGAGCGATTCTCGCCCATTGATGGAGCGATATAATGAATTGTTTCGAATCTATGGTCAGTTTACTCAATACAATGTGAACATGGATGAGGCGATCGCTGTGTCGAGCATAATCGACAAACTACCACCTTCTTGGAAGGACTTCAAGCATATGCTTAAACACAAGAAGGAAGAGTTGGATTTAACCCAACTCGGTACCCACTTGCGCGTAGAGGAAAACCTCAGGGTGCAAGAGGGTGTGAAGCCAAAGGAATCTTCATCGGTTCACATGATGGAGATTGGAGAGTCTTCTTCCCAGAAGAAGGGAAAGAAACGTTCTCGCGATAAGGGCTACAACTCATCCAAGGCCGACAAAAACTAGAAAGCTAAGCCTACTTGTTGGAAGTGCGGGAAATCAGAGCATTTCAAGCGTGATTGCCACATGGAAAAATCAAAGAATAGTGGCAATCGTCATGTTGGGAAAGGATCTAACGATCAAGGCCCACAAGGTTCCATTTCCACTTTTGATTTTGAATTTGATCGAAATTCGGGTATGAGTTATGTTTCACTAATTAATGAAGCTTATTTTGTACAGGATGATGATGTTGCTTGGTGGGTGGACTCTGGAGCTAACATACATGTAAGCAAGGATCACAAATGGTTCAAAACTTACAAACCAGTGGAAGACGGTTCTGTTCTCCACATGGGCAATGAGTCAAATGCTCCAGTCGAAGGACGTGGCACCGTAGAGTTGGAATTTACTTCTGGAAAGACTCTTGTACTTAGGGATGTGTTACATGTACCTAAGATTAGGAAAATTTTGGTTTCTGGAAGTGTACTAAATAAACTTGGATATCGTCAAGTTTATGACTCTGATAGATATGTATTATCTAAATCCGGAGTGTTTGTCGGATTTGATTATTATAATAATGGTATGTTTATGTTAAATATTATTAATAAAATTAATAATATTGTTTCCGCTTACATGACTACCCTTATTGATTCGTCTTTATGGCATGCACAATTGGGGCATGTGAATTATAAGCGAATGATGACTATGTCTAAAGAAGGATATCTTCCTTCTTTTGATGCTCAACAAGATAAATGTAAAACTTGTATGTTGACAAAAATCACTAGAGAGCCGTTTAAGAACGTGCAAAGGGAGTCCAAGGTGCTTGGACATGTACATAGTGATCTATGTGATTTACATGGCACTCCTACCTTAGGGGGGAAGAAATATGTTATCACCTTTATTGATGAATATTCGAGGTTTTGCTATGTGTACTCGTTGCAAACTAAGGATGAAGCCCTTAGTCGCTTAGGTATATATAAAACTGGATTGGAGTTACAACAAGAAGCAAAGATCAAAACTTTGCGCATGGATCGAGGTGGTGAATACTATAATCCGGCTTACTTCCAAAGTACGGGGATCATACATGAGACCTCTGCACCATTTACCCCTCAACAAAATGGGATAGCGGAGAGGAAAAATCGCTCTCTAAAGGATGTAACACTCTACCCTATACATTTTGTCTAATCATATTGTTCATACAATTGCAGCGGAATTAATCTCGGGTGTTAAATTAATTATCAAAATTTACCCAAATAAAATTTCGACATGAATTAATCACAGTCGCGTAATGGGCTAACAGTTCTTGCAACTTCTCCTGCAAAATAATTCATCACAAACATATATAGTCACAACCATATGCATTGGCTTTTCTTAGCCATAGTCACACTTTTCATACTCCACAACTGCATACCATACTTATACATACCATAATCGTCACAACTTACACAGTTACACAACATATACACATATGATCAACTTTCCACACTTGTGGATATCTCACACTACATCAGAAGCTAGTATGCACATGAAAAACGTTCTCAAACCAATTTTTTTTTAAAAAGGTGTGGATCACTGGCCAAAATCCCAAGTAGTCGTCCAAGCACAGAATAGTTGAAGACCATACCTCATCTTGGCTTCAACTCTAGCTCCTCTCCCACCTAACACTTATCTACTGCTGTTGCTGATGATCTGCTTACACATAGCATAAGCAGAGAAGAAGAATAAAAGAGGGTCAGCTCATGGCTGAGTGAGACAATCATTGCATCGTGAGTTCATAACAGAGCATACCCCTACCATACATCTAGCAAACAAGCCAAAGCACTAGGATCAGACCTCAGCCATCCGACATCCCAATAGGCAAAAGACTCAACCATCTTGACTTATGCATATGCATCTTATCATGTTTTACTTATAGGCTCCTGGCTACTCCCATGATAATAACTCTCCCACGAAACATACCCCACATCCCGTCGGATGTAGTCATACATACCCCAACATCCCGTCGGATGTGGTCATACATACCCCACACCACTATGGGTGTAGTCATACCCCGACACCATTCTGGGTGTGGTCATATCTCGTAAGAATTCTTCAGTCACCACCACATGAGAGGTGTGACTATCATACATATCATAATAGAGTAATAGCATAGGGAACCCTAATTACTATGTAGTTGACCGTGAGACCACAACACTCATATTTGGTATCCTCATACATGATTCATATCTCCCTCCCACAACACTCATATTTGGTCATATCTCGTAAGAATTTTTCCCCAGTCGCTCCCTGAACTCTCCGCGTTGCCTCTGCTCCCGGTCTGGAAATAGGAAAAAGGAAGATGAAATGGTTTCTTGAAAGTAATGAGAAGGGGGAGGGAATAAATGGACCGATATATATATATAATTAATACGTATACTTATCCGATCGATCGATAATCCGATTTTCGTCAAAATACTACCAAAATGCTCGTTTTTAAAGCGTGAAATTTTCTAGTGACAATAATACGATTTTAGCCGAAACGGGATGTTACAAAGGAAATGGTCAATTCCATGCTCTCTTACTCTGGTTTGAGTAATGGGTTTTGGGGGGAAGCTATGCTAACGGCTTGCTATTTATTAAATAGGGTTCCCAATAAAAGGAATGTCACTACCCCCTATGAACTATGGTATAAACGAAATACAAACTTGGAGTATCTTCGAGTTTGGGGTTGTAGGGCAGTTGTGCGACTAACGGATCCTAAAAGGAAGACGTTAGGAGAAAGAGGCATTGATTGCATCTTTGTAGGATATGCTAAAAATTCTAAGGCATACCGGTTCTATGTTATAGAACAAAATGACGCTTACTCAATTCATTCTATAATTGAGTCAAGAGATGCCATATTTGATGAAAATCGATTTTCATCAATGCAATGACCAAAAGACATAGTTACTCGTGTCAAGAGGGGATTGAGAAAGATACTTCACAATCGAGTTTACCCATTATTCGTCAAAGTAAAAGAAGAAAGATTGCAAAATCTTTCGACCAGACTTTCAAATGTATCTTGTGGAAGGTTCTAGAGAGGAAGTACACTCTCAATATTTATATTCATTTAACATTGAGGATGATCCTAAAACTTTTGATGAGGCTATGAAGTCTCGTAAGGCTGCCTTTTGGAAGGAAGCTATTAATGATGAAAAAGATTCCATCATGGCAAACAACACATGGGTGTTGGTAGATTTACCACCTGGATGCAAACCTTTGGGTAGTAAATGGATCTTCAAAAAGAAAAGAAGAGTCGATGGGACCATCGACAAGTTTAAGACGCGTTTGGTAATCCAAGGTTTTAGACAAAAACATGGGATTGATTACTTTGATACTTACGCGCCTGTTGCTCGAATCTCCACCATTAGATTGTTGATTGCTCTTGCATCAATTCACAATCTAATTATCACAGCATCCTTGAATGGAGATTTGGATGAAGAGATTTACATGAAAAACCCGAAGGATTTGTGGTGCCTGGTCAAGAGCATAAAGTGTGAAAATTGATCAAATAATTGTATGGGCTTAAACAAGCTCCAAAACAGTGGCATCAAAAGTTTGATGAGGTGGTTTTGTCTAGTGGTTTTAAGTTAAACCAAGCTGACAAATGTGTATATACAAAATTTGATGATTCTGGTAATGGAGTCATCATATGTTTGTATGTAGATGACATGCTTATCTTTGGTACCAATCAAAGACAAGTGGACCTCACTAAGGAGTTTTTGTCATCTAAATTCTCCATGAAGGACATGGGGGAGGCAGATGTGATTCTGGGTAATCAAGCGAAACGGATAGGAAGTAGCTTTGACTCAATCTCATTACATTGAAAAGGTACTTGATAAATTTCATAGTGAAGTTTGTCGTGAATTAAAAACCCCAATGGATCCAAGTATGAAACTTTTTCCTAATACTGGGGAACCTGTTTCACAATTGGAATACTCCAAGGTTATTGGGTGCTTGATGTATGCAATGACTTGCACAAGACCAGATATCGCATATGTGGTAGGACAATTAAGTAGGTATACGAGTAATCCTAGTGCTCATCATTGGCATGCACTAAGGGTGGGCATACGGTTCGGTAAAACCGAACCTAAGCGAACTGAACCGAATTCAAACCAAACCGAAACCGAATAACATTACTTCGGTTCGGAATTCGGAAGAGAAAAGGGTATATTTCGGAAACCAAGGTCCTTTCGACCGAACCGAATTTCCGAATTCCGAACCGAATTTCCGAATTACTATAATTGCAAGTTCCTAATGGTGAATTTTTATGTTTGTACTTATTATGAGACTTAAATATTTGAATTATGTTAGTGTTTTATGAGTTATGTGTTGAAATGTTTGATTTTATCATTGATGATGCATTTAATTGCATATTTATTGTTTACATTAGGGGTAAAAAATAATTTGAAAGAGAAAAAATACAAGCCAACCTCACAATTTCGGTTTTTCATACAAAACCGAACCGAACAAAATTATAATTCGGTTTGAACCGACCAAACCGAATTATAATTCGGTTTGAGGTTTGATGGAACTCGGAAACCCGGTATACATTATTTCGGTTCGGTTTGAACCGAACCGACCGAATGCCCACCCCTAGCATGCACTGAGACGTGTACTAGGATATCTCAAAGGCACAATGCATTATGCTTTGACTTATAGTGGATTTCCATCTATCTTTGAAGGCTATACTGATGCTAGTTGGATTTCTGATGTTCAAGATCATACTTCAACTTCAGGATGGGTCTTTTTGCTTGGGGTAGGTGTTATATCTTGGGCTTCTAAAAAGCAAACTTGCATCACAAGTTCCACTATGGAGTCACAATTTGTGGCCTAGGCTTCTGCCGGAGGAGAGGCAGAGTGGTTAAGAGACTTGGTTTATGACATCCCTTTATGGCCTAAACCAATCTCACCAATTTCTATCCTTTGTGATAGTAATGCTACTTTGGCTAAGGCATATAGTCAAATGTATAATGGCAAGTCTCGCCATATGGGAGTAAGACATAGTAAAATTCGTGAATTGATCACTCATGGAGTTGTGTCTTTACAGTATGTCCGGACTCAAGAGAATTTAGCTGATCATTTGACGAAAGGGTTAGCTAGAGACTTGGTAGTCAAGTCTGTGAAAGGGATGGGTTTAAAGTCCATATAATTTCTGATAATGGGACGCCCAATTCCCCTCTAATACAACGTTAGAGGCTGAATTCAATGAGGAAAGCTCGTTATCAGAAATTGAAGCACACAATGCATCATCCCGAGGTATGTGCTTGTTGACCTGCATGAGAGAAGAGGATGAAGTTTAACTTCTTAATTGAATCTTTGACAAAGTGTGTAACATCCCGTTTCGGCTAAAATCGTATTTCGATCGCTAGAAAGTTCGCGATTTAAAATCGAGCATTTCGACACTATTTCGACGAAAATCGCATTATCGATCGATCGGATAAGTATACGTATTAATTATAATATATATATATACATGTCCAAATAATTCCCCGTCCATTTTTAATTCTCATCATCTTCTCATTTCCATCCGAGAGAAGAAGAGAATCAGAGAGCGTGCAGGGGAGCTCGGGGAGAATTTCCAAAGCTCAAATCTTGAGCTCTAGTGATCCAAAAATCTCGTAGGTAATGCCTAATTCATCCATACATCGTGATTTATCGATTTAGAGCTTTAAAACGAGTTTTTGGTTCAGGAATTTCTTGAATTCCCGATAAGCCAAATTAGGGTTTCGGAGTATCCGGAAGCCGGATTGAGCCCAAATTTCATATACGAGCTTCCTGCAGCGAGGTAATCAATCCTCTAGTTCTAATCCCTGAATTTTGGCAATTATTTAAGCCAGGGTCCAAACCGCTGAATTTAGCTCCGGCCAGGGTTTGATGTGTTTTTATCAAGAATTTGACCCGGAGCCTAGAACTAATATTGACGGGGATACTGCAGGGGATATTAGGACGGTCTCGGATTTTAATTCGGGGTTCGTTCGTGAAATTGACGTTTTAGTACGGGAAGGTTAAACCGGTGTTTGAATGACCAGAACTGGTGAGGGATTAGCACGGCATACCGGGTTTGTCGTATCACGATAATTATATTGATGCTTAAAATTGACCTAGGTGAACTAGAATGGCATGATTAGGGGTGTATGGACTTTTATGCTATATGATGAACCATGGATTGTTGTATGATATTATTGGCTTGCCCTAGCCGATATGAACCTTGTTTATGTTGATGATTGCATACATGTTGCCATTTGTGGTTTAATCGTTGATATGACTTCATGGCTATTCGATCAGGTGTTTTGACATGATGTGATATTATGGTTGTTTTTGGATTCACAAGTGGGGGAAATAAACTTCCCAAGGTGATATTATGATGTTTAAGGAGGATGACTTGCACGAGGGTTTATCCCGAGGAAGTGCAATTATACGACTCCTGATTTACCTATGTTGAGCCAATTATGGCCAGGTCAAGTACATGTGTAACTAATGAATTATGATTAAGCAAGATGAGATATGAATCATGTACAAGGATACCAAATATGAGTGTTGTGATCTCACGGTCAACTACATAGTAATTAGGGCTCCCTATGCTATTACTCTATTATGATATGTATGATAGTCACACCTCTCATGTGGTGGTGACTGAAGAATTCTTATGAGATATGACCACACCCAGAGCGGTGTCGGGGTATGACTACACCCATAGTGGTGTGGGGTATGTATGACCACATCCGACGGGATGTTGGGGTATGTATGACTACATCCGACGGGATGTGGGGTATGTTTCCCGGGAGAGTTATTAGCATGGGAGTAGCCAGGCGCTTATAAGTAAAACATGATAAGATGGATATGCATAAGTCAAGGTGGTTGAGTCTTTTGCCTATTGGGATGTCGGAGGGCTAAGATCTGATCCTAGTGCTTTGGCTTGTTTGCTAGATGTATGGTAGTGGTATGCTATGTTATGAACTCACGATGCTATGATTATCTCACTCAGCTATGAGCTGACCCTCTTTTATTTTTCTTCTCTGCTTATGCTATGTGTAAGCAGATCATCAGCAGCAGCAGTAGATAGGTGTATAGGTGGGAGCTGAGCAAGAGTTGAAGGCAAGATGAGGTATGGTCTTCAACTATTCTGTGTTGGACTAGAACACGGGATTTTGGCCAGTGATCCACACCTTTTTGTAAAAATGTTTTGAGAACGTTTTTCATGTGCATACTAGCTTCTGATGTAGTGTGAGATATTCACAGGTGTAGAAAGTTGGTGATATGTGTATATGTTGTGTAATTGTGTAAGTTGTGACTATTATGGTATGTATAAGTATGGTATGCAGTTGTGGAGTATGAAAAGTGTGACTATGGCTAAGAAAAGCCAATGCATATGGTTGTGAGTATATATGTTTGTGATAAATTATTTTGCAGATTTTAGTTACAAGAACTGTTAGCCCATTATGCGAGTAATTCATGTCGAAATTTTATTTGGGTAAATTTTGATAATTAATGTAACACCCGAGATTAATTCCGCTGCAATTGTATGAACAATATGATTAGGCAATACGTACAGGGTAGGGTGTTACAGTTTGGTATCAGAGCCTGGTTTCGATCCAGGATTTAAATAGTCGCCAGAGGAGATGGATAGAGTTGTTGAAAGATTATGATTGTACCATTGATTACCATCCAGGTAAAGCTAATGTGGTTGCTGATGCCCTAAGCAGAAAGGGGAAAAAGAACATAAATGATCTGGTTGATTTGAGGGCAATGAATGTTGATTTGGAAGTGGATGGTGTGACACGGTTACTAGCTCGGTTAAACATTCGACCTTTGTTGCATGATAAAATTCGTGAGAAGCAGAAGGAGGACCCAGAGTTGGCAAAAATCATTCAAGACATTGAGGAAGGAAAAGAAAGCCCATTTGAAATGGTAGATGGCATGTTGAAGAGGAATGGAAGAGCATGTGTTCCTAATGTTGACAACTTGAGGAAAGAGATCCTAGATGAAGCTCATTCTTCTGCTTATGCTATGCACCCGGGAGCAACTAAAATGTATCACATCGATCAAACCATATTTTTGGTGGCGTGGGATGAAAAAGGAAGCGGCTGAACATGTTTTCACATGTATGGTATGTCAGAAAGTTAAGGCAGAACATCAAGCTCCTATGGGAAAACTACAACCACTTCCAATTCCAGAATGGATGTGGGAAAGAATCACAATGGATTTTGTATATGGTCTCCCATCATCAAGGGGAAAAGATGCAGTATGGGTTATAGTGGACCGACTGACCAAAGCGGCCACACTTCATGGTTACATAGGTTGAATCTTTAATTTGTGTACCAATCATGCTCGAGTCTCAAAACACATATGGTGGAACTTTTGTAAAATAAGATTTTCACTTACACATACTTCTATCAATTTTTCGATATACCCTTCAGCACTTTTTTCCTTTCATCATTATTTGTTTCTTTTTTGAATTTTCTCTTTCCTCTTTTGAATAATCACAATGTTGTGTGTGGGTAGCTCTCTATTTACTAGAGCATTACACGCTCGTAGGGATGATAAAAGTATCCACAACCACAAATATTCGTTAAGCGAGAGTTTCACAACAAGGGTTCCAGCTCTTGGTTTTAAGGTTTTGTCCCCGTGTCTGTTGGAAAATTAGATGGAAATAATTGGTTAATAATTGTACAGGTGAGTCTGTTCATGAACCAAGCCAACCTTCCATTTAATTTGAATTAGCCAACTTCATTTTGTCTCCACGGGGTTAATTAAATGAGTGGAATTTGAATGAACAAAAAGACATGTCCCCTCTCTCCCAATAAAGCGTGTCCTCTGAGTGAATGGTTGCTTCCTAAGAAATTCGGCCCTTCATAAAATGGTCGTTGCCATGGATAAAAGCACGTTTAAAAGAAACGATGCATGGTTTGGATGAAGCAATATATTGCTTCATTATCTATAAATATAAGGGCTCGGCTGAAGCTAGGGATGGCAATGGGCGGGTGTTTGGGGCGGGTTTGTCTAAACCATCCCCATCCCCATCTTCAAATACCCAAACCCATACCCGCCCCATACCCATGCGGGGGAATGTTTTGCAAACCCATCCCCATACCCGTGGGTTTCGGGTACCCATGGGTAATACCCGTACCCATACATCCAACATTATTATACATAAAATTTACAAGAAAAGTTTTAATTATTACTCTTAACGAACCTATTATATCATAAAGTCAACAAAACACGATCATTTTCTTAATACGGTTCAAAGTATATGATCCTAAAACATCCATTAATACATAATATAGAGTATAATATTTTTCAAATTATTATCTTCTAACTCTTATACATCTACTAAGTAATAATTAACTAACATAATCTTGTAGATAAGGGGAAAAGTGAAAGAGTGAAAGGAGAATTGAGGGAAATGAATTAGATTTTGATTAAAATGGTCACTCAATTGCATTTTTACTATTTATTTCCTTGAGTCATCCTCATCACCATTGATAGATTACAATTTAATCCACATATTTTTTTTATATGTGAAGAAATTCTCTTGGTGGGGCGGGTATGGGTATGGGTATGGGACGTCAGAAGCTTTAGTTGTCTAGTGTATACTAAGTACAACCGTCATGGTCTGCGCAAATTGATGAGTGGGGACGTGCAGGCATCTTTGTTGGTTATCCGGCCACGCAAAGGGGATATTGTGTTTAAGATTTCAGCTACAAAGTTATCTATACATCACGAGATGTGACCTTCCTCGAGGATGTCTTTCGCTTACGTGTACTATCGTATCCAGTCGGGAAAGGGGTAGAATCACCCTTGCATGGCTCACACAGAAGACAGGAGATGACCATCACATCATCAAAAAGTTCATTATGAGGAGCCGGATAGTGATTTACCTGTTCCAGAAAATTCTAGCCCTTTGCAGGCCATCGAGATGGCGGAGAATGAAAATTTTACGTCATCAAATTCGCCCGGGTCATCATCAAACTCGCATGGGCCGTTACTAGAGTCATCACTCATACAAGAGGTGCCCCAATCGACTGAGGAAGCTATTCCATCAGCAGCTGCGGGCTCGCCTCCTCTGAACCAGCCGCAACTAAATAGCAGCCGATAGCCCAAGCAATCTCATCGCCTAGCAGGTTATGATGTCCACTTGCCAGCTTCTCTCACACCCATCGGCTAGCTCGGTCAAGTATCCAATTGAGAAACATGTCTCTTACTCTCGTCTTTCTCACAACTACAAGGCTTATCTTGCTCACAGAGATGTCATTCTAGAGCCTCCTCACTTCTCGCAGGCAGTCTTGTACGAGGAATGGAAGGATGCCATGCAGAAGGAAATAACAGGTTTTGAAGCTAATGGGACACGAAGTCTAGTTTCGTTGCTGCCTGGAAAATGTGCAATTTATTCAAAATGGGTTTATAAAGTGAAGTATTTACCAGATGGATCAATTGAACGTTTCAAGGCACGACTTGTAGCAAAGGGATATACGCAGATTGAAGGAATCGATTACCACGATACATTTGCTCTGGTAGCAAAATTAGTCACTGTCTGTTGCCTAGAGATCTACATAAAGAAGTCTACATGAAGGTTCCCCAAGGATTTGCCAAAAAGGGTGACACGAGGGTTTGTCGCTTGCATAAGTCCATCTATGGGCTTAAACACGCTTCTCGCAATTGGTAAGAGAAATTTTCTTCGGCATTACTAGAGCTGCAGTTTCATCAGAGTCGAGCAGATCACTTGTTATTCATCTATCGGTCAGGGTCGTCATTTGTCACCGCCTTGATATATGTGGACGATATCATTCTTGCAGGAAATGATCCTAGTTTCATACAGAAAGTCAATGATTTCATGCATGATCGCTTCACAATCAAGGATTTGGTCCCTTGAGGTATTTCTCGGGAATCGAAGTGGCAAAGTCACCGAAGGGGATAGTTCTCAATCAATGTAAGTATTTCCAGACATACTCGCTGACACTGGGTACGAAGGAACTCGACATTGTTCCTCCCCAATCGAGCAGAATCGTCAACTTGGAAGGGATTCTTCTTCTCCGGTCGTTGATCCTTCCGCATTTCGGCGCCTTGTGGGTCGGTTGCTATATCTCACTGTAACCCGACAAGACATCACCAACCCGGTCAACCTACTCAGTCAAGTTTTGCATGCACCACTACAAGAAACTTCACTTTTTGCGACGGAAAAATTCGTCGCAAAAAATTGTAAATCCGCCGCAGAAAGATTTCTGCGACGAATTACGTCGTCGCAAAAGGAAAAAACACTTCGTCACCTATACAGCGTCGCAAAAAGTTCTGTGACGAAAATAAGTGGTTCGTCGCAGAAAAGTATAACTTCGTCGCCGAAAGTCGTGAATTTTGTGACGGACATGTCGTCGCAGAATGATCATTTGGCGACGACAACGTCTTGGTCGCAGAAAACTTAACTATTTAGCAACGAAATGATCCGTCGCAGAAGGTGAAAACATTTTCTATGGAGATTGTATTTTTTATTTTTATTTCCTTATTTGTAATTTGCAGAAATTGAATTTCCATATCAGTTTAGTATAAGTCCCATTTTAATTTTTAATTCAGTCACTGAGTGGTTCATTCATGAGTCTAAACATACATCCCAGGTCAGTACGAGGTCGTCGGTTTCCTTGTTGCCTCAGTCTCCGGCGGTGGCCCGTCCATCGCCGAACACATCCATCTCTCTTTCTACTCTATCGAAACCGCAAAAAAGAAAAAAACAAGCATTAGATCTGTAACCAAAACCAGAAAAACCAACACATAACTAAAAATAGATGGAACCACACCAATCTGTGTCTTTTTGGACAGTTTGAGGTGGTCCGGCGATGCTCCATTCCTCGTTGCCGCTGAGATCTATCTCCCTTCCTCTCGATCGAACCCACAGAAAAAGGAAAAAACAAGCGATAAAGATGCAACCAAAACTTTAATTAAAATTGAAGGGGGCTGACGTTGGCCAAGATTCGAACCATTAACCTCCTATACACATCAATTTAATTAACAATCAAACTAGTTAGTTCACCACAATCATTTGTAACTTTAGTGTATTGCATTCCTCTTATTGTACATATAATTGTAATATGAAATCCAAAAAGTTAGATAATTAAGTCCCAATAATATAAAATTTCCTAAAACATTATAAGATGACTAAAAAACGATCTGCGACGATGATCCATCGTCGCAGAAAGTCCTGAACATTCTGCGACGACAAGCTATCGTCGCTGAATGTCCTGAACATTTTGCGACGAAAGACAATCGTCGAAGAAAGTCCTGCACATTCTGCGATGAAAAAAATCGTCGCAAGAAGTCTCCATAAATTCAGCAACGACAAACAAACGTCGCAGAAAGTCGCCATACATTCTGCGACGAAGGAAAATCGTCGCAAAAAACTCCATACATTCTGCGACGACAGACAACCGTCGCAAATAGATTTCACACAATTTGCGACGAAAACATGGAATTCGTTGCAAATTGTCCACTTTCTGCGACGAATTTCCTATCGTCGCAGTAGAATTCGTCGCAGAAAGTGCAGTTTCTTGTGTGCACCTACGCAGGCTCACCTGGATGCCGCTCAACGCATCCTTCGTTACTGGAAGGAGTCCCCTGGACGTGGTCTTTTCCTTCACGCGGACAGCTCAATGGAACTAGTAGCACACTATGACGCCGACTGGGCAGGTTGTCTCTTGACACGTCGTTTTACCACATGGTATTTCATTCAGCTGGGCGGTTCTCCGATCTCATGGCGCCGAACAAACAGTCTGTTGTGGCACGGTCTTTAGCAAAAGCCGAGTATCGAGCGATGGCTAGCACTATCAGTGAGTTACTCCGGCTTCGTTGGCTTTTGTCAGATTTGGGTGTTACTCAAACTCAACCTACTCGTCTATATTGTGATAATCAAGCAGCACTTCACATAGCCGCTAATTCAGTATTTCATGAACGCACTAAGCATGTAGAGATGGACTGCTACTTCATTCATGAATGGGTTCTTTCCCGTGACATTTCACCTCTCAAGATCGCATTCGCAGAGAAGCCAGCAGATCTCTTAACCAAAGGTCTCAGTGTCGATCAATTCAATTACCACTTGTCCAAGCTCGGCATGATTGATATCCATGCTCTCGCTTGAGGGGGAGTGTAGAATGTCACTTTGTCAATGTAATAGGACCATAAGGTAATTGTGGAGTGGTCCGTGTCCTAGTAGGAGTTGTCAATCTCCCATGTCCTTTCCTTTACTTGGCTGACAAGGAAAGGTCTCGGCTGCTGTCTTCCTTTTGTATAAATAGCAAGCTAGACTTGCTAAGTCACTTGTCAACCATCAATAATAAGTCATAGTCGAGAGCTCTTTCGAGCTCCCCGTAGATTAGTCCTGTTAATATCGAACAGGGATACCACCGTAAAATTCTCGGCGTTGTGTGATTGTTTTCTATTCCGTGTTGTCGTCTTTAACAGTCACTGCCCATTAAATTTTACCTACGTGGCAGTCGAGGTTATCAAACCGATTTATAGCGTTATCCCAGTTTGACAAGTGTATTGTTTGACCTATGGTACAATCGATTTACGCCAGTTATGCCAGTTTTTGCAAAACATGTAAGAAAGTGAGAAATCATTAACACTAAAATTGATGCACATATAACATAATTTAAGAAAAATCTCTCTAAAATTTACATTAATGTTTAAATAAAATAAAAAGTTAAAAAAATGAAAACCTTATATTTAAATAAAATAGTAAACGCAAATATTCAAAAGTTTATATTTGAATCCAACAAATAAACTAATAATCCAAACATTCATACTTGAATCCAATAAATAATATAAAAAATTTAAAATTAAAACTCAAACTAGAACTCAAGAAAAAAAGAAAAAAAAATTTTAATTAAATTCACCCATATGAAGATATTTTTATAAAGGTAGCAAATCGGTCATATTGGGGGGCATTCCAGCCAGTTTTGAAACCCGTAAAGTCGTATGATAACGATGTAATTGCACATATTTGCGCCCCTAGTTCTTATCCGTTTGAGAGGCATAGTCGTGTATTTTGGCCTATTTTACGCGGGGTTGTGCTATTTTGTCATATTTCAGGTCCTAGGCGTCAAAGGAAAGGCTAAGCACGAGTTTCGGGGCATTCGGAAGTCATTTCGTCGAGCTAGAGCCAGAACAAGGGCACGCCTAAAACAGAACACGACCGTGTTCTGTGGCCGTGTTTTTACTGCCGAGAGCAAATTCGAGTTTGGCAAACATTGGCTAAAAACACGGGCAGGGCTTAGAGAAAGCACGGTCGTGGTCACCAAAGCACGGCCGTGTCCATCATGAAACACGTCCGTGTTTCTCCCAATGCACTGGCCGTGTAATTAACCCTAGCCAAAGCACGGGCGGGCTGAGGCATTACACGTCCGTGCCCTTGACCGTGCTTTGGCCACTGATGCCCTTTTAAGCAGATTTTCAGCCAAACAGAAGGGGATTCGAGTTTTAGAGAGACAGAGCGATTCCTAGAGAGAGAAAGCGACGAACAAGAGTCTCCAAGTGCCCTAGCTTGATCCTCATCACCATTGGAGGCCAGTTTGAGCTTGGAGAAGTGTCGATCAACGTCCAGGAGCAAGAATCCATCCTTCACAGTATGAATTCCGCGTCTGATTCTGCTTTTGCTTCTTTCTCCATGGAGTAGTTCTCCCATTCATCTGGGTATGGAGAACCCTAAATTTGTATGTTAGGCTTTGATTGTATGAACCCAAGTACTGATTCTATGATTTGATTATATTCGATTGAGGTTTGAATGATTGAATGACTTGAATCCTGATCAAATTCCTGTTGTTTCTGCTTTAACCTAGAATGAGAATATCTGCCTAGGTTGATAGAGCATCCTTGATTGAAGGTAGGGAGTTGGTGACTTTAGTCGAGGAGCCAACTCACTATTCTGTACCGGATTTACTCCGGTAGTGGAGGTTTTGTTTGTTAAGGCCTCAATCTGTTTACTCCGGTGGAGGTTAGTCGCCCGCTAGAGATTCAGATTGAGAGGGTCTGAAGACCTTTAGTCGAGACTTCAGGCTGTTTAAGAACCTTCTGCAGTATAACTATCATAGAAACTGAACTTGGTAATTACAATCCGGCTTAACTGCAGTCTAGGGGGAACCATATCCGGTGACCTCTCTTAACCTGAATACAACAGTTTACTTGCTTTGTTAGTTTGTTAGTTTAGACTTGCATTCCAGTTTCATTGCTAGATAACAAGAATTCACTGAGTAGTCATCAAATCTAGGACCCGGGTTGATAATTAAACCCAAACCCGCTATACTACACTTTAGGAAGTGGTTACACTTGGCCAATTCCTAGAGTGACAGTAGAAGTGAGTCAAATTTTTGGCGCCGTTGCCGGGGACGGCTAGGTTGTTGAAGAAAAGTGATTTTTGTTGATTTAGCTTTTCTTTTTGCTTTGTTTGCTTTGTCCCACTTGTGCCTTCACGGGTTTGCTTGCTTGAGTGTGTGCAGGTAGTGCATGACCCGTAGCCAGTCAGGAGGTTTACTTCCGTTGAATCCAGAGATTGATCGCACCTGTCGCCAACTCAGGAGACAACAGCGAGCTAGACTGGCTACGGAGGAGCGCATAGACGGCCACCTGAGTAGCGATTCTGAAGAAGAGTACGGGATGGACGGAGACTACAATCAGCACCAGGGGAATCCTCAGCAGGTTCCCCCGGTGAATCAGGTCCTAGGGAACAACCCCATACCCCAGGATCATGGGGTTCATCATCCACCACCGCCGGGCCCCACCTTGGAGTACTACTACACTCCACAAATTGCTGACATCCGCCCGGTCATCCTCTACCCGCCTATTCCAGCAAATAACTTCGAGATCAAGCCATGATGGATTCAACTCATTACATCCTCTATCCAGTTCCATGGCTTGAAGGATGAGGAGGCCAGGGTACATCTTTCCCGTTTTCTGCAGCTGACGAACGGGTTCAAGCTGAATGGTGTCCCTGATGATGCAATCCGCCTTCATCTCTTCCCCCATTCTCTGGCGGGGAATGCTAAGAGGTGGTTGGAGACCCAGCCCCCATTGTCCATCACCTCTTGGGACGATCTGGCTGACAAATTCGTGCACAGGTACTATCCGGCATCAAAGACTACCGAGATACAGCGGGAGATCACTCACTTCCGCCAAGAGCCAGATGGGTCACTTCGTGATGCATGGGAGCGGTACATGGGATATTTATGGCAGTGTCCCCATCATGGCTTTAGTGATGCATTCACAGTGGGGAACTTCTACAGTGCTCTCTCTCCAGACAGCCAGAGGGTGATTGAGTCTCTATGCCCAGGAGGGGATGTTCTTACTAAGACTCCACCCGAGCTGAACCAGATGATCAGTACTTTGGCTGCCAGAGATCATTCTTGGGGACAGAGCAGCAGAGGCAGACATTCCCGGGACCGTGGTGTGCACGCCATGGAGACCAGATCCGGGCTCGAGCATCAGGTAGCTGAGCTAGTGCAGACATTGAAGCAGCCCAACAGTCTTATTCCGGGCAGAGGTTTGGCTACACCTCCAGTTGCTCAACGTCAGTGGTGTGAGAGCTCGAATCACTTAGTGGAAGACTGCCAGGCTATGAGGGAGTCTACTACTCCCCAAGTGCAGTTGGACTTCATCGCCAATGCTCGGCGCCTCGACCCGTACAGCAACACCTATAATGAGGGGTGGCGCCAGCATCCCAACTTCTCTTGGGGCAGCAACACCACTAAGCCACCTGGTTTCCCAGCACCAGCTGGTGGCTTTCAGCAGAGGCAGCCCTTCCAGGCTCGACAGGGGCCAGCCCCACAGCAGCAGCCCTACCAGCCTCGACAGGGGCCAGCCCCACAGCAGCAGCCCTACCAGCCTAGGCAGGGGCAACCATTCCAGCAGCCCATGCACCAGTTCGCCGAGCCAGCGGCAGCTCCGGCTCCAGATACTCAGATGACGAAGTTGGAAAATATTCTAGCTTCATTCATGACTAGCACTCAGGCAGCTATCACGTCACTGGAGGCAGGTCAGCGGAACCAGGGTGCCATCTTGCAAGATCTGCAGAACCAGGTGGGTATCTTGGCCCGCCAGAACACCACCAGGGCACCAGGGACTTTGCCTGCCACCACTGTTCCGAATCCTCGTGATCCTAACCAGCTCCAGCAGCTGGATGCCATCACTACCAGGAGTGGCAAGACTACATCAGCTGCTCCTTTCCAGCCCAGTCGAGATGAGCCACTACCTGCTTCAACACTTCCAGCTGATACTGCAGAAGTGGGGGAAGACACAACAACGCCTGCTCCCAAGCCACAGCTAGTGGTTAAGGAGCATGTACCTCAGCTTCCTTTCCCGACTCGCCTGCATAAAGACAAGCTGGAGACTGAGTTTGCCAAGTTCATGGCAATGTTGAGGCAGGTCAACATCAGCATGCCGTTCGTGGAGGCACTGTCAAAGATGCCCAAGTATGCCAAGTTCATGAAGGACCTCCTCACCAACAAGAAGAAACTTGTGGATCTTTCGACAGTGATGCTGAGCGAGGAGTGTTTTGCCATCCTGCAGAACAAGCTGCCCAAGAAGCGAAAAGACCCAGGGAGTTTCACTATCCCTCTTGTTATTGGTAGCATGCATGTAGGAAAGTCCTTGGCGGACCTAGGCACTAGCATAAATGTCATGCCTTATAATTTGTTTAAAAAGCTAGGCCTAGGTGAACCTAGAACTACTAGGATGAGCATTCAGTTAGCTGATCGTTCTATCGTGCATCCTAGGGGTATTATTGAGGACTTGCTTGTTAATATGGGTGCATTCACATATCCTGTTGACTTTGTTATTTTGGATATAAATGAGGATGTGGATGTACCTTTGATTTTAGGTAGACCGTTTCTCGCCACCGCCAAGGCGCTTATTGATGTGCATAGTGGTAAATTGATTCTGCGTGCTGGTGATGAACAGGCTACCTTTTCTGTGTCTGAGGATGGGAAACACTCTCATTTGCATGATGACATAGATTACTGTGATATGCTTGCTGATTTTGAGACCGCACTCGCTATAACGAGTGCGGTTACTGACGATGTTCTTGAGCGTTGTATTTTGCTAGGTGAGCAGGCATCGCAGGAGCCGCAGCTGGCGGAGCAGTTGGCCGAGTTGGAGAGTCGCCCTTTCTTGGAGGGCGACAGGCTGTTCAAACCGATCTCATCCTCCACCCGCATCGCTACTTCCTTGGAGGAACCACCAGAGGTGGAGCTTAAGCCCCTCCCTACTCATTTGGAGTATGCATTTCTCTGGGAGGGGAATAAGCTGCCAGTCATCATCAGCTCGACCCTCACACCCGAGCAGAAGACCAGACTGGTGACCTTGCTGAAGCGGTACGAGCGAGCTCTCGCATGGAAGATCACAGACATCCGGGGGATCAGCCCTTCTTTCTGCTCCCACCGGATACTGATGGAGGATGAGATGCGGCCAGTGAGACAGCCGCAGAGGAGACTGACACCGAACCTGGAGGCTGTGGTTCGGGCAGAGATTGTGAAGCTGCTAGACTCGGGGATCATCTTTGCCATTTCCGACAGCGAGTGGGTCAGTCCCACCCAGGTGGTACCCAAAAAGGGTGGGATGACTGTGGTGCCTAACGAGAAGAATGAGCTGATCCCGATGCGCACGGTCACTGGGTACCGTGTCTGCATTGATTACCGGCGTCTCAACGACGCCACTCGGAAGGACCACTTCCCGCTACCATTCATTGATCAGATGCTGGAGAGACTG